AAGGATTTGGGAGTCTCAGTTGATGTGCACTTGTGGACCAGAAGGCCGACCGTATCCTGAGTTGCATCAAGAGAAACGTGACCAGCAGGTTGATAAGGTGATTCTGCCCCTCTGCTCTCAGGAGGCCCTGCGTGTAGTACTGTGTCCACTTCTGGGACACCCTCCACAAGAAGGACATGGAGCTGTTGGAATGGGTCCAGAGGAGGGCCATGAAGATGATCAGAGGGCTGGAGCATCTCCTCTACAAGGACAGGATGAGAGATCTGGGACTCTTCAGCCTGAAGAAGAGAAGGCTCCTGGGGGACCTTATAGCAACCTTCCAGTACCTGAAGGGTCCTACAGGAAAATTGTGGAGGGACTTTTTATACGGGGAAGTGGCTTTAAGCTGGAAGAGGGTAGATTTAGACTAGATATTAGGAAGGAATTCTTTACAGTGAGGCTGGTGAGACACTGGAACGGGTTGCCCAGTGAGGCTGTGGATGCCCCCTCCCTGGAAGCATTCAAGTCTAGGCTGGAAGGGGCTGTGAGCAACCTGGTCTAGAGGGAGGTGTCCTTCCCTATAGCAGGGGGGTTGGAACTAGTTGATCTTAAAGGTCCCTTCCAACCCAAACTATTATATGATTCTAAGAGATCCACTGTTATATTACTGCTTTTTTAATATATAATATACTTCTATGTCTACACATAGGGCTGCTCAGAAGCTCTGTAATGTACATTATTTATCCACAGGCAGCACAATGAGGCGTGTAGATGCAATTTAAGCAATAAGTTGCGTGATCACACAAACTAGAGAAGCCTTGTGTCTTATCTTTAGGTTAGATTTTATGCTCTGGGGGAAAAAAGTAGTCATCTGACAGTCTTTTCTTGTGTCTGAGGCATTTGCAGCTTCTCTATGATTCTGGCTAAGCAACCACTGCCCAGGGGATACTTATGAATGCCTCTTTTTTTTTCCAGAAACTTTTAGAAATATATATTTGACCAAAAAAAGTTCACCACTGTAAAAATATGTTTGAAATCAGGTTTAGAGTTGAAGCAGGCAAGGAGAAATGACAAATGCAGTTACATAAATTCATTAGCCCTGGAGAACAGGCTAAAGAGCAAAACAGGGCTGTGATTAGTGTGATGGATTAAGGCAGTCCCCAGGCCTTTATTAGTACTAAGTTCAGTGCTACTTGAGGCCAGGAAGTCCTTGTACGTTGTTAGAGGTTGCTCAGAGATTTGTCCACAGAAAAAGGATGCTTTGTTAACAGTAAGGGAAGTGTATACTTAGCATTGCCAGTCCTAACATCCATACATCCTCCCCCTGAAAGCAGTGGAAATGTAGCCATCACAGCTCCATAGTGGCTTTGTTCTAAACATTTCCCACTGCTGGCATGGCATGGAAAAGATCTGGACTTCAGTGGGGCTGCTGGCATACAGACAGTACTTATGTATGCTAGAGTGACCAAGATGGAAATCTCCACCTGAGTCATATTTGTGGTCTTGAGACCTGTATTGTGCCACGCTTGTGAAAAGCTTTCGCATGTTGAAGTTCTTATTTGCAGCACCAACTCAGAGCTACAACAAATAGCAGCCATAGCTATGGATAAAAGTGGAGCTCCTTCCCTATGACAGGAGATTCGGAAGGGTGATTCCGTATCAGTAGGGAAATAATTGAAATATGGTAGGAAATAATTCATATTTCCAGCAAATAATCACTCTGGTTCCCTACTCTTTTCCAGTCCCTTCTCTTACTCACCTACCTATAATAGCACATGTGGTGACAACTTCTTGTCTGCCTTGTTTTGTTGCTGCTTTACAGCTTGGAACAAGGAACAGCTGTTTCATCCTTGCTGTTTTGCCTAGATTTTGACTCGTTCTTTGGCAAGGAGAAGATCCTGTGCTCTGTGCCATGGCTGAGCCAGCTGAAAAGTCCAAAGCATGAAGCAGTGTCGTACCCAAACTGCTATCAAAGCCAAGTACCTCATTCTAGGCTCTGTCCACCCCACCATTACATGGAAGGAAAACTATACCTCCTATCCAGGAAACAATTTTGGAATAAAAGCGCATGATTCTGGCTGACTTCTGTGGCTGACACCTGCAAACTGGGGATGCAGCATTGTGAGGCTGTGGAATGTTAAGATACGGGCTGTGGCCTGTTTATCCCTGTTCTGTAGGAAGCCACAATGAACAGTGCCACTTTTCTGTCCTAGTGGAGAGGTTACATGGTGTCAGTGTTGAGTCAGCCAGGGACAATGATGTGATGCTATCTGTGAGCAGAAGAGAACAGTTGGGAGAGGGAGTCTTCCGTTTGTGTTTGGGGACGGAAATACTCAGAGAAAATCCTTAACTTGCTGAGGATACAAAGCCAGGAATGGTTGATACACCAGAAGGCTGTGCTGCCATTCAGTGACATCTGGGCAGGCTGCTGAGCAGGGCGGAGAGGAACCTGATGAGGTTCAATAAGAGCAAGTGTGAGGAGAGTAGCTCTTAAGAGAAGGACCTGCATGTCTTGGTGGGCACTGTGTTGGCCATGAGCCCACAGTGTCACCTGATGGCCAAGAAGGCCAATGGGATCCTAGGGTGCATTACAAAAAGCGTGGCCAGCAAGTCAAAAGAGGTGATCTTCTCTTTATTCTGCCCTGGTCAAGCCAGATCTGGAGTATAGTGTACAGTTCTGGGCTCCTCAGTTCAAGAAAGATAGCAAACTGCTGGAGACAGTCCGACTGAAGGCTGCAAAGATGGTGGGAGGCCTGCAGCATCTCCCTGTTGATGAAAGGCTGGGAGACATGAAGTTGTTCAGGTTGGGGAAAAGAAGGCTGAGGGGAGATCTCATCAACGCTTATAAATATCTAAAGGATAGGAGTCAGGTGGATGAGGCCAGGCTCTTTTCAGTGGCACACAGTGACAGGACATGGGGCAATGAACAAAAACACAGGGAGCTCCATCTGAACTGGGGAAAAAGTTCTGCTGTAAGGGTGACAAAGCACTGGAACAGGCTGCCCAAAGAAGTTGTGGAGTCTTCTTCACTGGGAATATTCAAAACCCACTGGACATCTATCTCTGCAATCTGCTGTAGGGAACCTGCTTTAGCATGGACTCCAGAAGTCCCTTCCAACCCCTACAATTCTGAATGAATTTTGTGAACTTTATTAATGTGGTTAACTTTGAAGCACTCCATGCATTGGTGACAAATAACAGTTCTCCTTTTGCACAAACCTGTGGTGGCTCATACCCGCTCACTTGTTCTCAAGACAATTTTAATCACAAATTCCCAACACAGCACCATGAAGTGCTCATTCCGTACTCGGCAAATGGTGGGAAACTGCAGCACAATGTAATGGAAAATATTTGTTTTAATGTCTTGGAAAACCCAGATTTTGTGGGAGTGTGCAAGACACGGCTGCAGGATTGAGTGAGCCTGCAGGAACAGACACAGCTTGCAAAGGCCTACGGATGGATGGCATTTATTTGCAGCACTTTAAATTCTTCTTACTCTGCAGGTCTGAATTCCCAGTTTTATATTCTTGGAAATGATGGAAATTATCAGTGTGGTTCAAACACTGCCAAATTCTTTGCACTTTTTCTTATAGGGCATAAAATAGAACTGTTTGGGTAGGAATAGGTGTTTTCCAACTGTGCAAAGAGAGTGTGCTTGACTCAGAACATGACTATGCCATACCTGGAATAAAGGGTCTCCTTTCCTGGGAAACACAGCAGTTTAAAACCATTGAACTGGCAGTGAGTCTACTGCTTAGTGCAAGAGCTCCAAGATCTAGGGAATGGTGGGTCTCTGAAGGACATTACATGAGTGTGAGTGCACACATGTGTGTGCAGAGGAGTGACTTACATGCTCGTTCAGTTTGGCTCCCTTATTTTGTTGTTTTACTCCTCTTTCAGGCTGGACTGAGAACTTGCAGCTAAGCAGGAAGGACACAACATGGGCAACATTCACAGGCAGCTTCTGCCTGAGGTGGTCAGTGGGCTCTGAGTCTGGACACCCTGCATCTCAGCTACTACTTCTGAAATCAGATTCCTGCTTGTAGCCATTGCCCCAGAGGATCCCTTCCTATGACAGGCTCTGGAAGAAGGCAAGTTTTTCTGCACTGGGAGCAGTATTGGTCTCCTTGCCAACAGGATCTGTTAAAGCTCCATGTCACTCAAGGCTGGGTGGGAAGGCTGCATGCAGTGGGTATGGCAATAGCAGGGGAGGCAGCAAGGCAGCAATTCAATTGAAAGGAATTTTTTCTTCTTTCCATAGAATCAGAATCACAGAATGGTTTGAGCTGGAAGGGACCTGACAGCCCACTCAGCCCCACCCCCTGCCATGGGCAGGGCTCCCTCCACCAGCTCAGGCTGCCCAGGGCCCCATCCAAACTGGCCTTGAGCACCTCCAGGGCGCCTCACCAACCTCTAAGTAAAGAATTTCCTTCTAACATCTAACCTAAACCTGCCTTCTTTTAGTTTAAAACCATTCCTCATTGTCTCAACCATTGTCTCATCACTCTCAGACCACACAAAAAGTCTGTCTCCTTTCTTGTAAGCTCCCTCAAGTACTGGGGGCTGCAATGAGGTCTCCCAAGAGGTTTTTCTTCTTCAGGCTGAACAAGCCCAGCTCCCTCAGCCTGTCTTCATAGGAGAGGTGCTCCAACCCTCTGATCATCCTCATGGCCTCCTTTGGATCTGCTCCAACAACTCCACATCCTTCCTGTGCTGAGGGCCCCAAGCCTGGATGCAGTACTGCAGGTGGGGCCTTTCAAGGGCAGAGCAAATGGGGACCATCACCTCCCTCTCCCTGCTGTCACCCCTGAGGAATAATTGGATTTGTCTCTTGATACAAAACTGAATGAGTAAGCACATCTGAAATGAGTTGGGTTATGCTACATACTCTGTGTGCCAACCTAGATGATATGATGTAATTTTGTGATTGAGTGTAGAAAAAGTAGCAAGAAACCTTTTTTAAAAGTGCTTTCCAGTAGTATGGCTTAATGAAACTCGCTGTTACAGACTCTACTAAATAATTGGAAGCTTTATCAAAAAAGCTTTATTTCTGTAACACTTCATATATCGCATACTACTAAGTAACAATACCAAAAGAAAAGTCATGTTTCTTTCTTGGCAGCTCCTTGGCTCCTGCTGTTGTACATGAACAGGAGGGAAACAGAGACATTGACTGGGGGAGAGCTTGGCTTTGCCCAGCCCCATGCACCCCAGCTGTAGGAGGACGAAAACCATCAGTAATCATCATAGTTGACTCCTGCCCCATGCCTGAAGGTGTGTGGGTTCCGGGGGCCGATGGGTGAGTCCTCATCATAGTGGTGCTGGTAGTACCCCCCATAGTACTCGTTGCCACCACGCCCCAGGCTCGTCCAGTAGGACATATCGTCTTCAAATTTCTGCCAGGAAGAAAAGAAGAGAATGAAATGGAAAGAAAAAGGTGAAAGAGGGGTTCCCTTTGGCTCACGCGAATAATTCAGATCTGGAATATCTTTTCAGAAATCCTTCGCCTGCTTTACAAAACTCTGCAGCTAGGAGACTTTCTCTGTGAGATGTACCAGTCTGGTTTCACAGTTCCCCATGCTGTAGTCATGGCATACCTGAGTGCAAAGCGAGTGCATCGCCCTTTGCTTTATGCCTGTTATTTTTCTCTTGTAAAATCATAAGGCTCTAGAAGCAGCTCACGGCAGCAGTGGAAAAACAGTGTGCAAGGATATCAAATGCTCGCCAAAACAAAGCCTTTCCATCTGAATGGCTCTTTGGAAATATTTCTGGCTGAGATTTGTAAAGTTTTGCAAAATACACAATGGATAAACACAGCCTAAGTCCTTTCTGAAGCGTTGCTGGAACTGACAGTTATCTCATTGTTAAAGCTGTGTCTTAATACTCCTCAAAACCTCCTGAGTGGACTCGCCTCCCACAACAGGCCTGGTTCCATTTGTCAGTGCACACAGGAACTTGTAGAGAGGAACCCATCTTGTCTGCATGGTTTGCCCTTTCTACTTAACTTCTTACTACACGCACCCAGCCTTCAGTTCCTGATTCATAAAACTGCTTTTGTTAATTTCCATATTGTGTAGCCTCGCTGTTAAAAAGTCACTTTTATCTGCATAATGTCCAGGAGCAACAAAAAATGTATCCTTCATTATTTCAGTGCAAGCAAAAGATTTTTTTTTTAAATTGTTCCAGTTTTGAAAATGAATGCATTCATTTTCTAAGCAATCCACATAACATGAAGGTCTAATGTGCATTCCAGCTTGCCTGTGCCAATGCAATCTCATTAAGCACACTCATGCAGCTGTCAAAAGCCAAGAATCCAGCATCTATGACTATTTTTACCTCTTATTTATGTACGGATTATTCTATGCTTGGGACTGCAACTGAACACAGTGTCTGCTGAGCAGAGCTCTGTGCAGTGTGTGTATCACCTGGGGGCTCCTGATCCTACCCCGGTGTTGTTACTGCTTAGAAATATACCCTCATGGTTCAAAAGGAGGTTGGCTGAACGTTACCAGGCAGTGTTCTTTCCCGTGCAGGGTCATAGCACAGCTGTGAGGGCTGCACACTCCACTTCAGGTAGGTAACATTGGTTGGGAAAGACCATGAAGATTATCTAGCCCAACCACCAGCCTATCCCCACCATGCTCACTGACCACGTCCCTCAGTGCCACATCCACACGGTTCTTGAACACCTCCAGGGACAGTGACTGCACCCCCTCCCCAGGCAGCCTGTGCCATTGTCTCACTGCTTTTTCTGAGAAGATTTTCCTAATATCCAACCTGAACCTCCCCTGGCACAACTTCAGGCCATTCCCTCTCCTCCTATCACTGTTACTCAAAAGAAGAGACTGACCCCCACCTCACTACAACTTCCCACAGCCTGGGGAAGCCCCACACTCACCGCCTCATCGAAGCCAAGGTAGAGGAACTGCTGGTACCACTGCTGCACGTCAGGCTGGCTGCGGTCCCACAGCTGCCGCCGCGGGCGCCTCAGGCTGCGCAGAAACCCCTTGGCCGCCTCTTCCTTCAGCGACACCTCTGGCTTCATGGCAATGGGGGCTGGAATGAATCCCCCCCCAAAGAGAGGCCGAGAAGTGCTTAATCAGCCTAAATTGTGCCACATTTCTGGTGTTATTTCATCATCTTTGTGCTCGGCAGAGCGGTGTGTGAAGCAATAATAAAAATAGGGATTGCCGATACGATGGCCTCATAGCTACCCCTGTTCTCTTTGCTTTTATCACAGCTATCCCAAGCTCAAGACATGTTACACACAGAATTGAAATACACAGTCCAAACGGAGAATGGGAGCCTAGACTCTGTGTGCTGCAGCTGCAGGAATGGGAGGGACGCGTGGCCGCCGTGTGCGCTCATGGTGCAGCAGAGCTGTGCATGGTGGGGTCTGCTTGGAGTGCTTACACAGCTCCTGAGTGCTGTGCTGCCTCTGGGACAGGGGCACAGCAGCAGCACCCTGAGATCTGCGATGGGTGGCAGTTGAACCGGCAGGGAAGCGGGCAGGCAATTGGCTGCCTCTCTATTTACCTTCTCGTTTCTGAAGCATCCGCTTAAGTTTATTTCCTCTTGAAATATCTAGAGAAGTAAAAATATAATGCATGCTTATCTATCCACTCTTATTTGGTAAGAAGGAAATAACAATGGCAAAACGACTCCTTCCTACCAAAGAAAACCTGGAGCATGCTTCCACCCGCACCTCCCCGTGCCCCCGTTTCCCTGCCTCAGTTCAACAGAAGCTGTAGGGAACCCTCCTGCAACCCAACATCCTTTCCCCAACGCTTCTTGGGATGGATCCCCATGCCAGCACAGGTTGCCAACACAGCCAGAGCCGGGTTCCCCACCAGGCTCCCCACAAACCATCTCCCGGCGCAGCGACTGCAAACAAAAGAGTTATAGAGGAGAGATGCTGAACTTGCGACCGAAAGCTGAGCCCGCGCTCACTCACCGGGAGCTGCGCAGAGCAACGGCACGACGAAGAGGAGGAAGAAGAGGAGGAAGGCCCCGGGCAGGGCTCCGCGGGGGCACGGTGGCGGCATGGCTGGTGGGCTCCCCGCCTCGATGGGACGGGACGGGACGGGACGGGTCGGAGGGAACGGAGCAAGGGGTGGCCCCGTCCACGCCCACGTCGAGCCCGCCCTCACCCGGCTCGGGGCCCTGCGGTGGGGGGAGCAGAGCTAGGGAGGCCCCGGAACCGGGATGCTCTGGAATGCAGATCTCAGGAGCGGATCCTCAGCGTACAGGCACCAGTTCTTAAATGGGATGGGATGGGAATAGGGATAGGGATAGGGATAGGGATAGGGATAGGGATAGGGATAGGGTTAGGGATAGGGATAGGGATAGGGATAGGGATAGGGATAGGGATAGGGATAGGGATAGGGATAGGGATAGGGGTAGGGGTAGGGGTAGGGATAGGGATAGGGATAGGGGTAGGGGTGGGGGTAGGGGTAGGGGTAGGGGTAGGGGTAGGGGTAGGGTAGGTAGGATAGGTAGGGTAGAGTAGGGGAAGAGAGGAGAAGAGAGGAGAGGAGAGGAGAGGAGAGGAGAGGAGAGGA